ATAGTCTAATAAGAGTTAATATTACACAAAACATACGTTTATAATTCATGTATTTTAATATAAAATAATACATAACATAATGCAATAACAGCCACACACAACGATCATAACATATAAATCCAAATCAATCATGTCCCCTCCACGTGTTAAACATCTGATGTGCCATCTCATCCCTCATAAGTGTCCAAGCATTAGATGACTCAACATGAGTGATCATAGCGTTCTCCGCAAATTCATTATGGGTCATTTGAGTTTCCACTGCATCATCTTCTAAGGGATCAACTGCCATTTCTTGTCGTATGTGATTGTGAAGCAAGCAACATGCAGTTATAATCCTACACTGAGTTTTAACTGGATAAAAAGATTTTCCCCTTAAAATGGCCCAACGCCCCTTCAACAATCCAAAACATCGTTCGATTACATTCCTAGCAGAGCTATGTTTCATGTTGTAAAATTCTTGTGGAGTTGTTGGTTGCGCCCCTTGCCTCCACTCACTAAGATGATATCTTTGCCCTCTGTATGGTGTAAGGAAGCCTTCCCCGTTCATGTAACCAGCATCACATAAATAATAATAACCTACACATGTAATGAAGAAATATTTGTTATAAACAATTCCCATGTCTATTTTACAATTTGAAAAATTGTTAAATGGAAAGTAACGTTTAAAATGAAATACCTTTTGGCACCCTCAATCCATTCGAACGGGATATAGCATCTCTTAGGATCCTTGAATCTGCTGCTGATCCCTCCCATCCAGGTAATACATAAATAAATTGACAATCTTGAGAACATACGCCTAAAACATTTGTTGCTACCTCACCCTTCCTTGTCCGATACCTTGGCTTATCAACTTGCAACGGATTCACCTTGATGTATGTCCCATCTAACGCTCCTAGGCAATTCTGTAATTCGTAAACAGGAAAATAATAATGAAAATGACATAAATAATAATTAACATCTTCAACTAATTTGTAAATACAGCAAAAGAGTGTAAGTAAGAAGTTACCTTGAACCATTTCCACCTTTCATCGGTTGAATTTTCAGGGACTGGCTCAGGTCTCTTAAGTAAAACCGTATGGCACCGTAGCACAGCCTGCAAAACCTTGGCGAACTGTCTACTAATAGTTTCACCCGACCGTAAGAATTGTCTTTTAATGATCCTATTCTTAACATCATGAGCCAGAATGTGTAGAAATATTGCAACGAGCTCTTCCACACTCATGTGCTTCGTTGGTTCAAGGCCCCCAACAACTTTAAGTAATTCACACAACCTAATGAAGGATCTCCTATCCATCCTGGTATTCTCAATACAAGCCGTTTCACTAATGTAAACTATTCTATGGAAATATATAGTCCTTAAATTCGCCCTTCTATAACAATTCCAGGTGACTCTTTTCCTAGCATTTCTTCTTTTTTCGAGATCAGCTAATAATAAAGCAAGTATAGTAATAAACATCATTGTAAGTTCATTCAAAGACTCCAAGTAACATATGAGTACAACAATGAGACTGCACTCCATTCCATTCATGTTTGTCAGTGGGAGTTTCGGTTTCTGCAAGCTATAAAGATTAATATTAATAAATTTTGCGTGATGCCCACTCATTGCTCATAGCAAAGCACGAGAATAACGAAAAGGACAGTGGCATACAGAATGACTACATTCAGTATTGATTTACCTAAAAAGGACTCCGCTTTGTAATATCAATTGTGGTTTGCCATTGCGAGACATTGTTCACTAATTCTGTATAAATTTTATTCCTATTTGAAATATAATTGTACATAACAACTCAAAGGACAAGATCCTATTTTATACCTTATTTTGTAAATTTAATTCGAGGTATATTGTTATATATATACAATTGACAAGTGGATTAGAAGAACATTAAACACATGCTGGAAAAAATATGGAAAAAGATAAAACAATTCAAAAAAAAAAAATTGGCCATTTAAGGATATGCCAAAACCTTATCTGTGAATCTAGAGAATTAGCAAAATAGCCAAAAGATGCATACTAATTCATACACACCAGTCCTAGAGGAATCAAAAAAGAAGTTGTACTAATAATTTTACAACAACAACATCCACTCATGCTTCTTCAAGACACAAGCCCATCTCTCTTTTGTTCATAGTTTCACAAAAACAAGGTACCCCACATTGTTTGTGGAATAAATGACAATTGTTTATAGATCCAACACAACCCAAAAAAGTAAATTTTTCACATTTGTAATGAACTCGGTCGAAAAATAAAATCAAAAACACAAAAAATGAAGAAATATTTCGACTTTTATGTATGACAATTGTAATGAAATGCTGTAAAAGTTATAAGTTAACAGATAACATTGCTTCATGGGAACTTTTCGAGCAACTGAAAAAAGGGAAAATAGGTCCAATGTTCAAAATCAAACGACAAGTGAAAGAAAAACAACAAAATGTTAGCATTTAGGTAAAGTAAATGCTTCATGACAACACATTTCACGGCAAAAATCCAACCTTCGTACTTATGGACCACAACGAACACAGCGTACCTGAATCAAACAAGTTTGAAGTATTTTTTTCGGCCTGTGAAGTCCGACCTCTTCAAGTTTTTGTCTTCGTCAAATCTATGAAATGATAAAGAAGGTTAACAATAATCGATGAACATTCAACTGTTAGTTAGAAAAGAAATTACATGTGATTCCAAAACCTACCAGCAACACGGTGGAGAGGCAACAGCTTCACAGCAAAACGATTGTGGATGAAAGGATACTTGTGATTAAATTTTCTCTCACCCCTCTCTTTATATCTAGGGCTAAGGGTGTTTTGGTCTTAAAAACTTGGACCCATTTTCCCCCCGCGTTGGCAATTGCTTATTCCACAATTTCAATGGCAAACTTCATCAACGTAAAATGGTGGCAAACACCTTCACCGCAAATTAAGTTTCCAATGGACAAACTTTTCTCCCCCCTACCAAACACAGCAAACTACTTTTCCATACCACACTTTCCATTGGAAAAAAAAAATTGCTGCATACCAAACACCCCCTTAACGTTAGTTGGTACATTGAGTTGAATTCAAATCAGAATTTTCACTACTTGAAAGTTGAAACTAACAGGTTAAAACCCCCTTTTTAAAAAAAATAAAATTGACAGGATGTTCAAATCAAAACTATGATTAGATCATGATATCATAATTAAGAAAATGATTTGACATTTAGTCCAAATTAATAACTAATAAGATCATCATATCATGTATAATAAATATTCAAAATTACATGGATGTGAGTCATGTGACCATGTGTAATGGATCATTGATTAGAAACGCGATGGAGCGTGCACACTTGCTAATAGAAAAGATTTTGATACAACGGTCAGATTCGTAATTGAAATTGTCATTCACGTTACTTTCATTTTCAATCTTGGAATTGTATTTGGAGAAACTTGTTCATCCGGTAATTAATCTACCTTTTTTCTAATTAATTATTAAGTACTTAATATTTTTAAATAGTTATTTTTATTCATTTAAAAATTTAATTCACTCGAAAAATAAAAATAAAATTCAACTATTAAATTAACTTATGTTAATTTAGATAAGCCGAATTCTTTTTTTCCTTAACACTTGCTTAAAGAGCAAGCCTTAACAAAAACTCGTTTTGTGAATTAATGAAAAAGTTCTAACGGATAAATGACAACAAAGGAAAGATTGAAGGAAGTGATGGATAAAGCTGTGTGTATAGTTTGGACCCCTACTTTAAGGGTAGTAGTAATATTTTTTATCTTTATAATATCATGTTATATATTATTGGGTTTAAAATTTCTAAAAATTAGTTTAGATAACTTTATTTAATATTGGTTACACAAAATAAAGTTAAATTACTAGGTAAATTTTAGGGTATGTATGTTTGGTTGGAGGTGAGATATAGATGGGAAAACAATGTTAAATTACTAAAATAACTCTGATTTTAAAAAACCACAAGGGTATATTGGTTACACAAAATTTGCTTTAGCCGTGGTTTTTCAAAAAACCACATACGAAACAGCTTTCCAAACAGTGGACAAAGCGTCTTTTTCCTAACAATTTCTCAAAACCCATGCATTTTGGATCACTAGTTTTTTATCTGAATCCATCTAACCAAACATGTCTTTTTTGGAATCCACACGCCACATGCCAAGGAAAATTGGAAAAAGAGGCTTGCCAAACACCACCCTAAAGTAATTTTAGAAACTTTAAATCATATTATTTTATTCAAAATATTTTTTTATTAATTAAATTTACATGGTTTATCCATTCAACCAAGTCGATCATAAATCCGAGTTTAATAATTCTGCTTTTGATATGATTTTGCATCTTATGTGGGTGGTGACGAATTGTAATTGTTTTACATCTTTCCCGCTTTTTGTTTAACTAGTAAAACCAACTCTGTTATAACTTTCGAGTTTAATCCCAATTTCTTTCTTATCACTCAATGTGAAAGCAAATGACAATATCTACATTGAAACATATTAGCCGTTAAGAAGGGCATGAGCCTCAGTTACATTTCAATAAATATTATTTATTATATATAATTATATAAGTAATTATAATTGAACTCTAATTAAGATCGTAAGTTGGTCCTAGCTAAAATTGTAACAGACGAAGATTTGGAGTTGTTTTATGTGTGTAATTATATAACAGTTTGCTTTCGTCTTAATTTCTTCTTCTTCATTCATGTTTTTTCAATTATGATTTTATTATAACTTTTTTTTTTCTTATTCGCACTCACTATCCGGAACCAAGTCATTCTACGAAAAGGTACGATGTTTCGTTCCTTTCTCAATGTTTTTGGAAAATGCATTGATAATTATAATATCTGCGCACTGGGATAAAGGAAAAGACAGAAATCTACATGGTGCATTGATAATTATATACTATCAAAAAGTGAAATTGATATCAAAAGACAGAAATCTATCCGTTGTTCACAAAGCATTGATTAACATGATGGAAAGAAAAGGAATTTTTTATTTTTTGTAATATGATTTTCCTGAATAATCAAAACATTGACTTAAAATCATGATCATTGTTCAAGATACTGTAAATAGTAATGAAAATGTAGATTTATTATAAGTAAGACATATAATGACAATAGCCTCACGTTACATATGGTTAAAAAGAAGTGCCTTCCTAGTTTAAGAAACAAAGGTAGAAATGAAGGAACCACCAAAATGAACAATGGACATGGACTTCAACTTTACTGATCCACATAGCAGTGCAGGCAACATAGGTGAGAAAGATAAATCTGTTATCAGAAAGGAGGTGGTGGCCCACCTGGGCCTCGTGGACCACCGAAGCAATCTTGGAACAACCAACAACAGCACAAGCAGTAGAAGCTGCATATCCCCCGTTAAGAGGAATTAAATTATAATTTAGAATCAGCTCCAAGATGAAAATAATTAATGAATGTGCATATTATCATAGGGGTTTCTACAGAAATAAAATAATAGCTTCACGTTATGCATCCATTTAAAAATAAAATAAATTGCTTCACGTTATTATTACTCACCATGAAGATACGAGGCTGCATAAACCATTAGCAAAACCACCAAAAAAACCACCAGGTCCAAAGAAACCCGGTCCACCAAAGCCAGGACCCCAACCCGGTCCACCAAAGCCAGGTCCAGGACCCCAACCCGGTCCACCTGGTCCGCCAGGTCCAGGACCCCAACCTCCCGGTCCACCCGGTCCAGGACCCCAACCAGGTCCTCCCGGTCCACCAGGACCACCACCACCACCACCTGGTCCGCCAGGTCCCATGGCTAAGTGGCTACCTCTTTACAATGCCAAAAACCACAACAGAGGAGAAAGGGAGAAAGAGCTCCACAGCACAACAATGAAGCCAAAGGGCAAAAGCTATTAATTGAAATTTGAAAGGAGAACTTATTCCTCCTGATTTCGATGTGTGATGATCACAAACCTACAAAACTGGCTCCTATATAGAGGCTGTAATGTAACATTCAACAACTGACTCAAGTGATTGAATTGTACGCTTTTCCAATTACCATTATTTTATGCCAACAACATTTAACGACAAACCAAAACTGTCTGTCAAAGCCATGGCTAGCTACCTTTCAAACCTACGAATCAAACCCAAAAAAATAAAATTGCTAGGGTTATCCCTATCAATTTGAAGTCACTGGTCTTATTTCAGTATAATTTGTATACACAGATACAAGGTTATCTGAACTTCAGCACTCAGCAAATAGACTTTAATATTCAACGGCCAATCAAATGGCCTAATTGACCAATTGTTGAGTGACGGAGTGAGCTATATTCATTATTGTCACCAGGAAGCGACTCGATTGAACTAAATTTATTTAGTATAAAATTATAACATAATATTAGATCATTAATCACACCAGCTTGAGATTTCTGAATTCACTTGTAAAAAAAAAAATTGGTTAAACTTAAAGGTGGCGTGCATACAGAACTCCATGATTTCATTCCTTCTAATGAGACCAAAATATAATAATTTTGAGGCATGCTTACAACCAAAAAAATTTTACCACCTTTACGATCAATCTAATTACCGTTGATTTCCGTCAATCTAACGGTTATAATTTATTGGATTTATTGAGAATTAATAATTAATTAATAAATGCGATCCAATAATTTTCAAAAAATTATAACCGTTAGATTGACGGAAATCAACGGTGATTAGATTAATTGTAAATGTGGTAAACTTTTTTGGTGATAAGTATATCATTCCCCTTAATTTTATACCTCAATTAAACATAAAATAGAAAGGATAGATCAATTTACATCGGTGTAAAGAATAATAAAACTAACATCAAATCTTAAAATTTCTGTGTATCTGACTGTTATAATTTATTAGATCAAATTCATTAATTAATTTTTAATTTTAAATAAATCAAAACCGTCATATACATTAAAATCAACCGTTAATGAAAAACTTGTGTAAATTAGCTCTACACCAAAATAGAATATATGAAGGGATATGCCAATAGCCCAATACTATTATACAAGCTCAGTCTCTCCTTCCTTCTCATTTTTAGACTCAGTAAGGTAGCGCACAAGCTTCTCATTGACAGCCCTTCTTAACGGAATCAAAATGTGTCTATTATTTCGTCCTTTTTGGTTAAACAAAATGTATTTAATTTTTACCACTTTGTCTTGTTCTATTTTATTCGCAAAATATACTAAATATAAAGTAGAACTTATCAAATGATACGTAAATACCACAATATGATTCACCATTTCACACTCACATCATGTTCATTAAAAAAAACACTTCTTTACGCTCCGCCCGTCTAATTATACGAAATGAAAATTATGAAAAGACCGATTTTTCTTGCTGATAAGACGCTATGTAACAAACATAAAGGAGAAAGGTTTTGAAGCCCAAGCCCAAATAAGTGAAGTCAGAGTTATCGTCAGTGCCTATGAGCTGGGCTCGTGACCCTTGTTGTTGGTCCATTCCTGTAAATACGTAAGTCATGAGTTTTTAAAATTTTGATGTTGATGCCCCTCCATATAATTCCATTTTAATTGTTTGTGTTTCAAAATTCAGATCATGATTCAATGAGATTAGAACTTTGAAGTGAATGAAATCCACAGCCCCGAGTCCAGCATCACAATGAATAACTTCGGCGGAATAAAGAAAGAACCACATAAAGCATAAGCTTATGGAACGAGCTAGCAAAAAAAAACAAGAATCTAAGGTGAAAAGAGAGAGCCTCAGATTAGCATGATGGCACATTCTTCATCGCAACAACAACCCATGTCTGAAAACAACACGGTGCGCAAAATATTGTCACTGCTCATGCCAATAATACTCTCATCATCAGCTACTCCTTATAATCAATCACTTCAACTCAATTTAATTCACTCCTAAAATTAAAAAAAAAAAAATTAAAAATAGAACAAACAAAATAAAAATCCTTCATTCCTTTTCCGATTTCATAATCATAAGCCTATTCGTTCAAAACCAAATACTACGCCTGTCGTCGACAACAAATACAAAATTAGAGATCTTTGACAGAAATAAATTTCTCAGTTTGGTGTCTGGCAAAGAATTGCAAGAAACGACGAAGACAATTAGGGTTTCATGACATTGAAGCTGTGCGAGTGAGAGGCTTCCTTTTAAATAGGAGACCGAAGAAGAGAAAGTTGCTGCGACGTGTATGTGACCTTCATTGGGCTTTCTCACTTTGTTAGGCCCAACTTTCAGACCCAATGAATTATATGGACCCACTGACATACCTAAAAATGGACCTACACAGGCCCAGTATATTTGGATCAAGAATATTTTTTTATGCTCTTCTTTGAAAAACAAGTGAAATTTTAAACTAATTGTGGTATGAAAAAAATCAATCACTAAAATTTCCACCCATATTTTTAAGCAAACAAATTCAAAATCATTTTGATCATTATAATGAGATTAATTAACTGATGACATTAATTAAAATGCTAGTTTTAATATTTAATATATAATCGTATATTTTTTTATCTAGAATCCACCATTATATATTTTTTTGTTTTAATTCTTTACTGTACAAAATATTTGTTTTATGTAAAAAAATAAAAATTTACCAGATTGATTTCTTTTTTTTACTTCCTTCTCGTTTTGTAAATGATGAAATGGCCAATAGCATGTACAATTGGTTATCTTTTTATAAATTATGATGGACATTCGGTGCTAGACTATTGAAGTTTCATATATGGGTTTCACATAGACGATAGCTTCGGACTTTTCAGAAGCATATTATCAAACTTTTACTTGACTAGGCTGGCATGCTTGTAGTTCTAAGTTCTAACCACTTCAATGGAGAAATAAAAGAAAGGGAAAAATATATATTTATGGATAGAGAAAAGGATGTGTAAGGACCAAAAGAAATGTTCGTTAAATATTCATAGACCAAGCAATGACCCATTTCAATTAAAAAAATTCCATGACAGTTGAGAAAAGGAAAGTGAAAGTTGTTGACGTGCCAACGAAAACATGTTCATCCTGCGTTACCAAAGATTTATAGCGATGCTTCTGGTTTCCCACTTTATATCAAGCAGTTGGACATGAACTTCAAAAAACAAGAAAAAACAAAACAAAAATGGAACTGAAGTTCAAAAAAATCACAGCAGGATTAATTATATTAAAATCCCATATGTTACTTTGGTTTTTCTCGTAAAAGCAGGTTATTAAGAATAAGGGAAATGATTCATTTATAAAATATTTTATATAAATTTTTGTAAATTACATAATATATTTCCGTAAGTACATCATATATTCTCATAAATACATAATGTAACTTAATATATTTTCAGGAGTGCATAATATAATTTGTAAGCATTTGTGAACACAAATTTTGTAAATACAGTGATTACCTAAAACAAATGAATCTAGTACGGGGCTTACCAAACTAGTTAATATCACTAGAAGTTGGTCCCCAACATACGAAGGCAAATAAGAGTTTGACAGTTTAGTCCTTGGATGAGTGGTCCTCTTTACCAGTGGTCCATTAATGTCTAAAAGTAGCTTAGTCCATGAATCACAGCCATCCAATTTCCGATCCACCTCAGGTTGGACCACAGTGGCGTTTCAATGAACACAAAAGCTTCACAGGACCATGATAAATACTGCATAAAAATCTACATATGAAATTGATTACTCGAAGCTACAGCTTTAATTTATAACATCCTTCCTTTTCGTATTTTTGTTTTCTATTATTTCCTTTTTAAAAATTTTGTGTGTAGAGGGGAGATATAAGAGTCACTTATGTGTGGTCCCAACACTTACAATTATAACGAGTGATGTTACCCACTAACTACTTTATGTGCCACATATAATACGATCAAACTTGGAAGATTCCATACCATTTCTCCCTGTATCTGTAAATTAACAAAAAAGATTAAAAATCCCTCATTACGTGGGATATAGAAAAGGAAAACAAGAAAGAGAGAAGTATTTATGGAGTGAATTGAGCACATGAACAAAGAGTTACAGTACATCTTATACTAGCTCACTTGATGCAAAAGAGTTGAGTTGACGAGAAAGAACCTTAGTTCTATCCCCATCAATATTATATTAAAGAAAAATATAAAATTTTAATCCTTTATACGTCTCTCATTCAAAATTAATTTTATGACCGGCTCAAAAAATTAAAACTTACAAAAACTTGTTTATTCCTCTGAAAATGGTAATTGAGATTTGTATTAAAATAAAATAAAATTACACTTATCATCCAAATTGTCAAACAAAGTGTAAAAGGATTGACTGAGGGATAATAAGCGTGCTGAATTTAAATTTGTCATGTAGTGGACAAATTAGGAATAAGCTTTTAGCCTTTTGGAAAAGACTGTCCACATCCACAGAACATGGGTGGCGTGGTGTTACTTTTTTGTTGATGAAATTGCATAACAGTGACATCCTAGCGCGCGCTCGAGAGATAACAGCTAAAGCTACCCCCAACCAGTTTCATGTGTTTCTAATTATTTTGCTGAAGATGACAAATATTATTACTAATCATAGATTTGATTGTCCAATATCTGAGTTAAACCTAATTTGTATTGAAAAACAAACCAAATTCTTAATTACCAGAGTATATATCTAACATTTAAGAGACAATTACCTAATCGAAATTAGCCATTTAGCTCAATATTGATTACTTGAAAATTGAGGAAGCACGACTTCAACGTGCTTGAAGTAGGGAATATATGTATATATTATTATTCCCACTCTCTCGAATAGCGAATAGATCGTGCTCTCTTATCACCACGTATCAGTTCGTTGCACAAAACCAAATTAAGCAATTATTTGCTGGGTTAGTCTTTTCTTTTTTTAGGGGGTGAGGTAGTTTAGGTTAGGTGAATGATGTCTTCAACTTTTTGACTTGCCCAGAGCATAACCTATGAGCTTGCAAAACTGATTAAGTAAGCTTCTACATACACGCCCAACGTATATGGGTCCATGGTGGCCCTATTGGCCAGTAATCATAGATACTTCCCACTTTTTCTCGCTTACA